GTAGACTACTTAGGAGTGAAGGGGGGTGAAGTAGGGGTTACTCTTGTTTTAAAAGATTACCTGTAAAAATGTTTGTAGCTTTTATGAAAAATGGCGTTTGACTATAGTGTGATTAGATTTAGATCCTGTGAAAGCCCTCAGTATTATTTAGATAAGTGTTATCTTCTGGTTTTGCTAGTTAAACTCTGAAAGACTTTAATTTTCCTAGACTTAGGCTTAGATAAATATTTGTTTTAGCCTGTCATTATGTTGACTCCACAGAAGTTTCGTACTGGCTGATTCACAACTTTTCCCCCTTCCCCTTTTTTGAAGGTACTTAAAGAAGCATGGTGATTTAATTACTAATTGTTTTCATCCTTTAAATAAATTATCATCAGTCTAATCACTAAATGATCAGATTTAGCTGTAGAATTCAGCCTCTTAATCCTGCTGGTGCTGGATGTTCTTTAAACCTTAGGAAAGTATGGAAGAGGCAGCTTCTTCCCATGCTTTGAGAACAGAATCATGAGCGTGTTTGAAACCATGTTGGCCATTTGTTTCAATAATAATGGAGATCATTCTTGCTGCCTCTTCATGAACAGTTACATTTCCCTTGTCATCATCATCTTCCTCAGATGAATGAAGACCGGTCAAGCCAAGCAAAGGTGAAGGATGGAAAAAATGTGACAATGGTCAAGTGTTCAGTTTCATAGCTGAAGTGTCTTTCTAAAGAAGATTTTTCTAAAGCATTTCCATTTCCAAAAGTCATCATCTCTTCCAACTTATGGTCCTGTCTAATTTCCACATCATCTGCTCCTTCCTGTCCATTTTCCACATTGTATATACTGTCTGTGTGTATTTTTTAAACTGCTGTATGAATTGATTGTATTAATTGTTATGGGGAAAATTGGTTTGTTACCTGTCGGATTGCTGAGCGTCTCACTTTCCAAGAACACGCCTTCAGCAAACAGCAAGGTTTGGCCGTATTTCCTATTTGCTTCTGTGTGCAGGACTATGTGTTTATGCTTGTGTATGTTTGCAGGACTGAGAAGGAGGTGAATAGTACACGGTGATTGTTACGGGTTATAAAATATGTGAAGGAAAAGAAAGTATTAAAAGGAGCTATTTAGGAAACAATAAGGAAGTGGAAATTATGTTCACAGTCAGGACATAGCTTATTATTTTGCTTGCAGGCACAAAGGCAAGGTGTCCTTTCATTTCATATATAACATGCCAGGTAGGTTCAATCTGAGGCTGCTTCCTGGCTTCTTAAAGGATCTTTGTCATTCTCTTTTCCTTTTTTTTAGTACTTCACCTTTCTCTGCAACTTCCTGATTATACGGCAAGAAACTAGGTTCAGCTGTCTTCTCTTCCTACAGAAAGTGGGGACAGGATTTTTGAGATTTTTACCCCTTTTTCTTCATATGAGTTACTCGGGAAGAGCTTGAGTTAGCTGGCTATATCTTTTCTAGACAACACAATAAAATCAGCATTGTTCTTCTCAATGATAAAGCTTCTTAGGGAGTTTTTGTCCCTGAGATCATACTGTTCCTTAGATGGTTTGCTGTATTTTATAGGTACAAAAGAACCTGTAAAAGTACAGCAATATTAGCATCCCATAACTCGGGATAAAATTATTGCATCAGCTGACACTTGGAAAATTACCTTTGTTGGAGCAGGTTTTGAGAGATGAATAGTTACATTCAGAAGGCTTCATAGTTATCTCCTCTCTGTGTGCTCTGAGGAAGTAATTACTCTTCACTGTATAGTGTATTTTTCAGTTTGATGTCTTGAATTCTCATTTTTCAGCATTTATCATCAGCTCACTTTTTGTCATTCCAAGTCTCTTTGGTAGGAAAAACTTAAATGGCTGTCATCCAAACTACTTTGTACTATTTCAACTGTAAGCCGTCCATGCCAAGCTCTTCATCCCTTTCTAACTTGCTAGTTGACCAAGTTCTTTTTCTGTTCCTCCTTTTTTTTTTAGTGCCATTTTAATTTCTTAACACTTTCTCATATTAAATGAAATCACAATCTTCCCAAAAGATTTTTTAATTGAAAATAAAATATATAGTAAAAGCTTAGAAGGAAAAAATTCCATATGTTAGAAAAATATGGATAATTAACCCAAATGGTTTTGGCCAGGGTTCCAGCCCAGTGAATAATTTCCATGAGTCACTGGTCTAGCACTTGGGTGATGTGACTGCAGGACATATTGGAAAAACCACAGTGAGAGCCAGGCTCTGCCTTGTTAAAGTTACTGGGAAATTTTCTCAATGTACTTCCTTGTGAGTGAAAGAAAATCCTTCATTTGTTAGTGCTCCACCACTCCTCAAAAAAAACCCTACAGTGAGCTGTGGATCTAAGCGTGTGTCTTTCATCACAGACACTTTTAGATCTTAATTCTACATCCCATTCTTGAATTCTGTCTTTAAGTTTCTGTAATTGAGATGTTTCTTGTGACCCACCGAAACTCAGCCGGCTGAAGTGATCCAAAGCTTTTCTATCTGCAGGCTTCGTATGCAGTGGGTTGCTTTCCATCATCATAAATTAGTCAGCAGCCCTCAGCATCCTCGGCTGTACCCTTCCTGAAATTCTAATTTTCTTCAACTTCCATGGACTTCTCTTGTATTCCTCTTAGTCCTCCTATAAAGGTCTTTGCTGTTGTCATAGAAGGTGATGATAGTTTGCTGGGTTAATGATACATCTGCTTCTGCTTGTCTTTTTTCATGCACGATTTCTTTTCTTTTACTTAGTTAATGCCGCATTTGGGCCAGGAGGAAACAAAATTGCCTCTTTTTATTCTTTCTGTAGCACTTAACAGAGCACTATTTTGGCCTGTGGTTAGAGCTCCTCTGGGATAGCAGCAAATGTTGTTTTGTTACTCCTAATTAAAGTGTGTGGAAACCAGAACTGAGGCCTAGGAGTGCTTACGCGCTTCTGCTAAAAGCACAATCTGGTCTTGCAGGAATGTCGGTTACTTAAATTCCTCTGCTGGTCTTGTGGAAGAAAGATTGCTTTTTCTCACAGAACTTGTCTTCTTGCTAAATCAAGCAGTGAACCAATTGTAATTTTTTTAATATTCATTTCTTGGTTAGAGGTCCCTTGAATAAAGACATTGATAGAGGAAAATTTTCATGTTGAATCGGCGTCGTCTCTTCACTCACAAAACCAAAACAGGTAAATCTGTGACCCACAGGAGTTTTGAAGTGGACTTGCTGTGGCCGTATCTGAGTACATTATCCTAACTGATGTTTGAAGATGCCTTACAGCAAGGACACAGGTTTGCATCTCTTCTAAGGCCGTTAGCTACTAAAAGATTTGACATCTCTGCTGTCTGTCAGATCGGTCTGAAATTGCCCCAGAAATACTGGATGATTTAAAACCACAGAAACAGAGGGAGGGGAAGTACAGGGATCATAACATGAGTGATGTGATCTTAGGCGCCTCGTTTTCTTACGAAAAATAGATTAACAATCCTGTAACCCTAAACTATTTTTACTTCTGCAGTCTGTAAAAATATGTTTTCCCAACTTTGCACAGATACAGTGTCTTGAGCTTGTGGTATTGTGTTATCCCGCGCCATGCTGGTGTGCTCTGCCTGACCTTTATTTCTGTTTATGCCAATCTTTTACCTGTATTCATGGAGTCTAGTAATAAATACCCAAGTCAACAGAGCTTCAAGTCAAATAAAAACTCTCCTTCTTATAGTAAATTACTCTGATTATCACAACATGGAAACTGAAGAAGAGGAAGGTAAAGTGGCTTCTGATGGAGGAAATGACGAATGACTTGAGGCTGCCAGTATATAATTACGGAAATTTCCAAGTAGAAATAAATAAATGCACATTAAATGACATTAAACATAAAAGCTATATTGTATTTTCATGATTTGCAGAAAGCAAAGCAAGCTGACCACATCGAGTGTTAATATTGATCAAATAGTTACATTTTAGGGGTCACTAGACAGCAGAATAACCTGTTATTCAGGAAATATCTGCAACGTACAACTCATGCTGAATTAAATTAAAATCAGATTTGTAATATCTTTATTTTAATTATCCTAACTCCTATATTTTTTTCTAATCTTAATTAAATTTTAATATGAATATAGTACTGCAGGTTTATTTTAAAATTAGACTAATTTAAACTATTTTAGGGTAATTGGTCTGAATTTCTTTACTGTGCCCTTTCTTTGATACTGTAGTGTTTTGTGAAAAGATGTCCAGTTTTATTATGTATATACTAGATCTTTAACATAATTTTTATGCTTGCTTCAGAGAAAATTCCGTTACTAAATTAGCATGCTTTTGAACTGCACATGTCAATATCGGTTTGTTATCTTTTTACGGGGATAGAAGGCAAGGACTGTCAACACATAAGGCCTTTGCCGCCAAGAATATTGCTTTGGGCTTACCACTCTGACTGTTTTGAATGTTGTTTTGTTTTCCCTTGTTTTGTCTGTGCTCCTTGCCATCAGCATAGAGTGGGAGGGACAAGTGTGGCACCGCAGTGCATCATGTGGGTTCCATTTGTCCATCCCCTTGCACCTTGCAGAAATAGGTTCTGTGTGGACCTACTGCTTTCAAGGCCACTAAAAGTCCAGGGCTACTCACAGTATCTGCCCAAAGACTTTGACTTCCTGGGCTCCCAAAACCTGGAGACTTTTACTTTCAGGGCTCTAAAAAGGCAGAGGGTAGGCCCTCACCAATTCGCTTACAGCCCACGCTGCCATCTCTTTCTTTCGCTGGAGAGTACACCAGTTTGTGAAACTTCCTCACCCACCAACCTTCCCTTTTTTACCTTCTAATTTCTTTCAACTTAGGCTGTTGAATGTTGGAGGAGATTGACATTGCTACAAATACTTGCTTTGGAAAGATACTGGGTGATCTGAAAAATTAAAACCAGTGTCTTGTGTCTTCTGTAGAGTTAAAATATTTTAAAGCTTGAATATGTACTTTTTACTTTTTTGCAGATCCAGTCTTGCTTATGGAATTGTTGAAGATCTGAGATCAATGAGAAAACATTTTTGCATGCAAGAAAAGATCATTTTGGTTTATCTGTTTTAAAATCATCAAGTGTGGCACTTGATGACTCATCTACAAGATTTCTTCACTGACGTCTGAAGAACAAAGTGCTTTTCAACCTGTCCTTCTGTAGCACTATGACTAACTGTAAAGGCAGATCTACCGTCTCCAAAACAAACAGCAGAGTTCGTGACAGGGAAGGTTTTGTAAACTGGACCATAAATCTTAATACCATTCAGTCCGATAAATTTTTGAGACTGCTTTTGAGTATGGTTCCTGTTGTTTACCAAATAAACCAGGATGAAAGACACAAAAAAGCGAATGGTGTCTGGCAAGATGGATTACAACAGGCAGGACACAATTTTAATGTTAGGTCTGAACAACACACAGAGTACCATCACTTCTTGGAACCAGGTTTTCATGGTAGTAATGGACACAGCCCCTCTAGCTGTAGCCCTAAATATGATGATTTCACCAGTTACAATTACTGTGATGGAATGGACGCTTCAGAAACAGATGCCATGTTGCAGGAAGACAACCTATCCAGTGACAGTAATGAAGATATCATTGTGGAAGGGAGTAGAAAACAACCCAAAGAATCTAGTAGTATTATGGCATTACAGATACTCGTACCATTTTTGCTAGCAGGATTTGGAACAGTTTCTGCTGGCATGGTTTTGGATATTGTACAGGTCGGTATTTGCTTTGGAAGGTGTGTGTTTTTAACAGGTAGTCTGTGGGGTTTATAATTCTATTATGGGATTTTGTAGGTGTTTACAATATTGAGAAGTAATTAGGTCTGTGTATGGTTCTGCTACTGTAAACTCCTTTTCCCAAAACCTCATGTGAAACAGTTCCAATGTTTAATTTGGAGTCATTTGAGTCTTGGTAAGTGTTGCCTCTTAGCCACAGTGAGCTAGTGAGTAAAACTGTTACCTTCTGCTTTAACTAAGAATATTGACACTAGTAAATGTATACGTGGTCAGGTGGAAGTTGTAATTAACTGTGATGCCACAATACATAGGAGTTAAAAAAGATTAGAAGAATTTATTGCATTATTTCATCTCCTTGTGTGCTTCAAGTCTATGCAATTTCTGAAATACTGTGTAGACTTGGTCCATGATAATGCATGTGGTATATGAAAATGTGTATTATGTTAGTATGTTCTACAAAATTCATACGATTGAGAGCTTTTTTGAATATTTAGGTGAATATTCAGTCAGTAAGTGACTTTTTTAATATGACATTAGGTATACTGAACACTCAGAATTACAGACGTGAATGGTGTATAGGGCTGCAAAGTCATGCCCACCTTGAAATATAATTGTAGTAGGTCCAGAGAAGCCAGATTATCTTGGTTTGTGGTTGCAGATTTAACTGGTAATATTTATTCAGGGTTAAGGTAAAATAGAGCTTTCTCTATATTTTAAGATTTAAGTTTAATAATATTTCTAAAACCTGCTTCTGGAGTATTATATCACTGAGATGCTACTGATACGGAGCATTTTTAGGACTGGTTTCTATCTTAACACGGTTGTAGATGTCAGTGGCATTTCAATGGAGTTAAAAGTAACAGTTGCCTATGAAATTATTCTTTGTGCAGTGATATTTAAAGAAAAATCAGTAGAAAGTATTGGTTAGTAAAGGTTTATTGGACTAGCGTGTTTTCTTGCCTTTTTGTATTTTGAAGGCTATATTTACTTTTATTTCCTACCTAATCTATGTTTTTTAAAAGAATGAAATTTCTTATAAATAAAAACCTCATGGAATCTCTCTTCCTGTATGTGTAGATTCATGAAAAATACTAAATAACCACAGTATTCACACTGAAAGACAGTAGAGAATCTGGTTCTTGTTCTGCTTTATTTCATTTAGCTTTAAGGTTTTCCTTAGATACACTTAAAGAGATTATACAGTTAATTTAAAGAGGAGTAAGAGAGGGGGGACCATCTTTGTCACTCAAAATTTTGAGGGAGTAAAGGAAGCTTGGACTTTCATTAGTTGCAATGAAAAGACTCTTCTATACATCAAGAAAAATAAAAATTGGCATGCAAACGTTACTGCTTCCTTGCATGGTTTTACGTCAATCTTGTGCTTTGCTCATTTACATCTTACCAATTTATTCTTTGTACAGATTCTTCGTTTGTGTTCTGTTAATATATAATTTACTTCATGTTGCAGCATAATGATCAGCCAAAAGAGGCAGTTGTGCCTACTGCCACTATGGGCTTCCAAGCCAACACAGCTGAAAGGGAAAAGATGAAAATATTATTGCAAATTAAGAGCAGAATTCAAGAGCAGTCATAGCGCCTGGTACTATTTTAAAGTCATTGAAAAACCCCCTTCAAATTAATGACAACTTTTTTTTAACTAGGTTTCTTTTAGGGCTAAGTTTTGTCTCTCTTACTTTTAATATTCTAATTTTTGAAGTAGTAATATGCAGTCATAAATCTATTTTATCTAGATAGATAACAGTTCTGGCCTTAGACTTTTAGGTCTAATATAGGAATACTGATTTTTAGAGGTTTAAGTTACGAGTTACAGAATTTTTTGAATGCTTTTCAGATGGGCTAGAGAATTTTTCAATTGATTTTTTTCTTTCCCACTATATCTTTAAATAGCACTGGGATGTGTTCAAGAATGTTACTGAAGTTTTTATCTTGGTTCCTGCACTTCTTGGTCTCAAAGGAAATTTGGAAATGACTTTGGCATCCCGGCTGTCAACTGCTGTGAGTAACTTTGTCTTCCCCTTCTCTCTTCAGATACATATTGTAAATATTTCAAAAAGAAAACAAATCTTTGGAACACAAGTGGTTTACGTTTGTGGCTTCATCTGGCTGTTACGGGGGCTCTTTAGATCTGTTATTAAATTGGCAAAGTTAAAAAGGTGACCCTCTTCTAATCTCCACACATCAAAATTTTACTTCTTTGGTCTCTTCTGTGTCATCATTCACGACAGATAATATCGATTTTTGAGATTTACATGTATATTCTGTAGGGCTGATAGATCTATCTGGCCTTGGTGAAGTTTGAACATTGTGAACACATTTTGCTAAAGTACATTTGTGTGGCACCAGAAATGAAGCATTGCTCCCATTGCTACTCCAGACCTTTGTTGAACAAACTAAGAAACTCTTTTGTAGCTTTCTGGCTAAATAATTCTATTCCTTTTGTTGTGGTGGTCGTGGTGGTGGTTTTTTTGGGTATGCTTTGTGTGTGTGTGTGTGTGAACACTAACATAGTATGACTAGGTTTTATTTATGTCTTCTTTCTTAAGTATTTGTCATAGTTCTTTTTTGTATCTCAGGAGATATTCCATCCTTTGTTTTTTTAGCCTCAGCAAGCCATATTACTTTGCCATGTATCTTTTCCCTGTGTGTGGATAACTATTGTGAACAGAATGTTCTAATAAAGTGGGCAGTTTCTGGTACCTGAGCTGGGTGTATCTGTACGACACTGCCTTATGCGGCACTTCTCCTTTGTAAGACAATCTGTCTGTTTTCCAGCAAGGCCCACTCTCTCTGCCTGTTCCTGCTTGAATGAATCTTTCTAAAAACTGTTTGGTCAAAGGTGAGGCCTCACTATGGTTTTGTAGAGCAGCACTTCCTTCTTCTCTCAGAAATTGCTCTTGAACTTTCTAAGTTCCTATGTGCTGATTTTCCTAGCAGTGTCAGATTTAGACCTTAGCCAATTTGTGATCAATGACTGTCCTAGTATTCCTCCTTTTGTGTTACTTCCAGCTGCCACTCCCATCTTCTGGCAGCAATGTGGTTAGTCCGTAAGTGCATGACCTTGCATTTCTACTCTTGAATTTAATCTGTTTTCATTGCTGGAATCCTCAAGGTCACCAGTTTTTGTATAATATTACAATGCTTTATATTAACAAGGGCTTCCAGTTTTTTGTCATTAATAAATTTCATTGCCAGATTATATTGAGTTTTTGCCCAAATGCACACAGTGATGGACATAGGACTGCTAAGGCTATGAAGGTTTGTGTCATACCCATTATAGAAATTGGTTACTTTTGCCCTATGTCCATTCTTTAATAAATAAGAATTGGCATGTTTCGTTCCTTCTTTCTGAACTGCAGCCTTAGCTATTCAGTCTTGTTTTCTGGTTGATTTTATTGCTCTACTTTTCTGTGTATTACTTCTGTTAACAGCCCGCTCTGAGAGGGCTTAGCTTGAGTAGTGTTGCCAGTGCCACTTTACCGCTATCATTAAGTCTCACCAAGACAGAAATCACCTGATCCTTTAGAGATTTTTATTCACGCATGCCATGAAGGCTTCCTCTCACCCCAGAAATTGTCATATGTCTGTCTTGGCCAAATCAGGTTAGCCAGCTCTGGTCACGTCCTTCCACCATGAAGGATAATTAACTAGCCAAGAAGTAGTCAGTGAAGTATACATTTCTCTAGGCAGTGCTCTGTGGCCTTACCTGATGTCACAGTCACAGCACCACTGGCATCGAGCTATTTCCCAGCTTTGCATTAAGAGATGTGGGATTTTTTGTTATTTGTTTGTTTTCTGATGGCTCCTATTTCCTTGTGTGACCGGTTTTCCTCAGGAATCATGACAGACCGGACTAAGTCACACAGGTGATTGAAATACTTTCTGCCACTTCCTTAGTCATATTGCAAGCTCACTGAACACCCTTCACGGGCAGCAGGTAGAGGCGTGACATGGTTTGGTGAACGTTCTCTCTTTTGCCAGTGGTGACTCTAATTTGTTCTAGCTGGTGAAGAGCTCAGTGTTGTAGGGTCTGTGTATGCACAACTGCACAACACAGTGGAGGCTTAAGGGAACAATACTGTACAAAATAAGAACAGTATGGATCATTCACTATCAGGAAATGCTAACAAGACTATAGTTAGTTTTTATATGTGAAAAAACCAGAAAAAATATAGCTTTTATCTTGCAGAGAACCTTCCAACTTTCTCTTATGTGTATTTTTTTATGCTCAACATCAGTTGCAATGGGCACAGCTCTGCAAGCTGGCGAATAGCCAGCCACATCCCCCAGAGTGCTACTGTGGCAGCAAACAAATACACAAGAACTCAGTAATGTGTCTAATAGTTAGTTTAAAAACAAAAACAAAAACCCTATGGAAATCTATGTTACATGTAATTTGTTACAGGTGACAACTTGGGTTTAGTTGCCATATACGTACTTAAACTCCCGCACTGATGCCTTGATAGCTCTGCTTCCCTCAGGTTTTAAAAAAAGGTGCTGTATCATCCCTTAATGGAGAGTTTAATCAAAAAGCTTCCTACTGGACCTTTAATTTACATGCCATTTCTCTCAGATCTCTGTGAAAGAGGTTGTTCTGACCTTTGTACTCTTCACATTGATTTCATTGACCCCCTACTCTCTTTAGCCAACCAATGTTTGGTCCTGTCAACCCTCATCCTAGGTGAAAACTGCAGTGTATTAATTCAGGGCATATCTAAACAGTTTTTTGGAGGCAGCTGTATGATTAATCTTCCTTTCTCTGACCTAAACTTGCACCAGCTGGCTCCCCACCAGATACTGTCCTTACAGTAAATGCCAGACTGTGCCCTGTGAATAACTTTACTGTTGAGTGGGAAATTTCTAACACGTGTTCCACATTGGAGCTAATACATACCTTTCTTGCTCTGTTAGCTTATAATTGCATCTGAATTTGTAGACGTGTCTGTGCTGTTGGGGCTGTAAACTAGTTACCTTTACTCTGTTGTAATTATGTAGTCAGCCAAAAAGTAATGCTTACTAGCAAGTTTCTGTTATCCGTAATATATCTGGCTTCAAGTTCTGCCTGATCACCTTAATTCATCTTGTTGCCCAAATTCCTACCTAAGCAGCTTGTTACTGGTCATTCACAATTTCACATCCCCTTGAGAATCGGTCATTTCATGAAATCTGTCCCAAGACACTCTTTTCAGTCAGGGCATAGCTTGTACTCCTCTTTGTTAGTGTTAATGTCAACTGTTCTTTCTCCCTGTGCTCCTGTGCTCCTGTAACTGTGTGAGGTGTTCTCAGGTCAACTGCCCATTCCAGCACAATATTTATATTGTGTGGTTTGTGTTCTTCAGCTTTTCTCTGTAGCTTGAGTCACTCGCATTGTCTCAGCTCACACTGTTGGCTTTTCTCCCTATTCCTTTTTCTTTTTTTCTAAGTGAAAGTAAACAAACCAAACCCAACCTGACACCAAAATCCCACTCATCCAGTCATCCCTGTAAACTTCTGCAGACTCTTGTTTTGGCTGTGTGTTATCAGTTAGGCATTAGCAATGTGACTTTGCAAGCCTTTTGTTTAGGTCCATGTATTCCACAGTACCACCATAAACTTCATCTTACTTTAAGGAAATCTGCAGCTGAAAGGAGTCGCCCTGCTCTTTTTCTCCCTTCCAAACTTAAGAGCATTTGTGCGTGGTTACATGGTTGCCTGTGGTGGATCACATCATTTTGTAGAAGAGAACCCCTTTTTGCTCCCTGAAATAACCTGTTTCCATCAAACCAGCAAGCAAATTTATGTTGCCATGAGTTCATTCATGGAGATGATAGATCTGGTTCAAGAAAGAAAACATGAACATGTAGCTGATAGTAGAGAAGAACTTTGCCATTTAGGAGCATCTCACTTGTAGGCTGGATTAAGCATTTCGCAATGTTACTGTTTTAACAGGGATTTTTTGGAACTTTCTTTGAAAAACTTCTTCAAAGCAGAAAAAGAGTGAAGCTCTCCATATCCTGCCATTTCTGTTGCTTAACATATGTATTTAAGAAGGATGCAACGGAGATTCTTATCTGCACTTCCTTAGACTGAGATAAAGTGTCTTATAAGTTAGCATTTCTTATAATACTTTGTTCCTCACAAGTCACGACTATCGCAAAATGGAATAAAATGGAAAAGAAATGGAAGCAAAACCAACCGGAAAGAAATTATCAAAAGAGGAAAAAATATGCATTAAGACTTTCTGTGCCTTGAGAAGTATGTTGTATTATAAATCAGTTATCTGTGGGGAAGAAAACGCTAGATTTTATGCTCAACATGTAAAAAACTATCTCAGAAAGGAAGTTATTTTAAATATGGTCATAATGCAGTGGTGTGTATTGTTCTTCAGATCTTGTCCTCCAGCTCAAAAAACCAAGTCAAAGTAGGAAATACATTGTAAAAGAGTATGTATGTATCCTTTGTTTCATAGAATAATTTATTTGCTGTCTTTCCAGCTACAGCCTTAGGACTGGACTTGTGTCATTCACAGCATCATAAGTTTCTAGCTGCGTTGTATAAATGAAAAATTAAAAAACCACGGCATTAGATGTGGTTTCTGATCTTCTGTAAGCACTTGCAGGTTGCCTCTGCAGGCAGTTTCACTGCCATCAATTAGCACACTTGCATGAGAGTGTGTGTGTCCACACACACATTTCTACATGTTTTTCTACTGGCTCCTAGAATTTAAGGGCCGTAGAAACAAGCTCAGCCTAAAGTGACTGAGCACTGATGTTTCCCTTCCAGCCACTGATCTAATCGCTGGTGGTGCTTGGACAGGAATGGAATGTGAGGAGGCCAGTAAGCCACCTTGCACAGTAAGCTAATGTTAAACAAGTTACTATGTAAAACAGCATCAAGTTTAGCTGCTTTTGGATAGATACTCTAAGTACAATTTAAAATCAACAGCGATGCTTGCCGTGGAAAAAAGTATAGCTTGGTTTTAAGTTGCTTTCAAAATGCTTTCTTTTTTTTTGTATGAGCTGAATTACTTGTGGGTTTCTGCCTTGTCAGTGCATTTTCTCAAGTAATACAATTTTAAACCCAAATGTCTGAAATTCTTCTGTAATTTTGACAGGTAAATATTGGAAAAATGGATTCTCCCATTGAGAAGTGGAACCTAATAATTGGCAATTTGGCCTTAAAGCAGGTAACTATAATGGACTTACTGATTAACTCTTGTTAGTGAGCAAGGTTATTGAAAAGGTCCGTCACAAACAGTGGTAAGTATGGAGATGGGCAGTAGCTCAACTGCCCTGGCTCATATTTAACATACAATGTACTTCTTCTCTAAAATGATACAAGCTTATATTTATACGAAAAAGAGGTAAGGTATTCTTTCTGACTGTACCAAGGGTATTTCCTTTTTAATTTTTCTGAGAGAGGATCTGAGGACGATTAGAGAAAAATTTCAGTTTTGGCAAAACCATTTAAATTTGATCTCTCAACTGTTTTCAGTACTGTATTTGCATTGGCTTCAAAGTTTAAAGGAAGTATGTGGTGGAGCTTTTGGACAATAAACAGTATTTTAAATAGCTTGGTCATTTGGGGAATGTTTGTTCTCCAAAGCAACTCTTTCTTAAGATTAAGAATTATTTCACGTTCCTATGTTATAATACAACATGCTGAAAAAATAAGCAAAATCTTTATACTGTGACTTCACTGTTTTAAGTGGCCTTAGGAGCCTCTTCAGGCATTTCAGCTTTGGCTCCTGGTAAATCTTCATCTCTTTTCCCTGATTCTACTTCTGTTATTCTTGAGTCTCTGAAATGTTGGTAAAGCCTTTTCTGCTGGCATAAGGTTTTTCTTCTTGATCATCCAAGGTGATCATCATCTCTACAAAATGGATGAGCGCACTCCCTTTGCACCTTGTATATACATGCAGATGGGAGGAAAGAATAACAGAAAATTATTCTGTTGTCCTCCTAAGTCTATCAGTTACTTTAAGAATTGTTCACCATCTTTTTCTTTTCCAGGTTCAAGCAACAGTAGTTGGTTTTCTGGCAGCAGTGGCAGCAGTTATATTGGGCTGGATTCCAGAGGGCAAATACAGCTTTGATCATTCAATCCTTTTGTGTTCTAGCAGCGTAGCAACTGCCTTCATAGCTTCTCTTCTACAAGGTAAAACGAGTACATATGTTACTTTTCACAGTTATTTAGTTTTCTGTAGATGCTGAACGTATATTATGTATGTTCCTTTAAACTTTAAATTACATCTGCAGCACAGCTGAGAATCGGATGCCCTTTTGCAGTTTCCATACAGGTCTGCATATTGCATTCCTGTTATATTCTTTGAAAAGGTTTGATTTGTATGACCTCCTGAGCATATCTAAAACAAAAAGTATGGGGTTGAGATTTTACCTAATATGTTGAAGAACTTTTTTTCCTTTTCTTTCAATATTCTTTAATGTACAAAATATATTCTTACCACTGAACAGGTAGAATTTTTTATAATGAAGGTCAAGTGAGCCTGGGTGTTAGCTCAGCTGAATCCAAACTCCCTGGTTGTCCCTGCTGCTTCTATGTTAGTTTGTGCTCTGCTTTGTATCTGAAGTGAACAAATTGGCTTGTTATGTGAAGGATTTGGGCCAAGTTCAAGTTCCCTTCTACAAATAGTGCCAATGTCTGCCTGGGGCCATATGATGTGATGAATTTAATCTTCTCTTTCCAATTGTCAGGAAACATTTAACCATAAAAGATGGTACTTAATGGACATGAAGGGTGGGCGGGGGAAAGTACCTCCACTTGTGACATGTTCTTAATGAAAATACATAGTCAGTAGTCTTAATAATATTAAGTCAAGTAAAATGTTTACTTTCCTTTTTTTATTAATTTGATGTGCTTACTTATGTGAAAATTACAAAATTGGTAAAGTTTTGCATGGAATTAAGAGCACACGCTTTTTTTTAGTGACCACAAAGCCATTGAGTTTGATCATGAACAAAATTAAGAGCAGAGAGAGAGCAAGATAACTTGGGAATACAAGTGTGTTATTTCCACTTCTCGTAAATAGTTTGTACTTGAAGAGAAACTTTTGTTGGTACCTGGTGATGGGCCAGCACAGGAAATTACTGTCTAAGCTTCCTCCTCCTACACTTGAAACAGGTGCTTTTGAAACATTGTGATTCTACAAGATTGTTTAAGTTCTTTCTTATGACAATTTCATGGAGTGTAACTCTTTGGGCAGTTTCTCTGAAAGTGAACTCCTGATGTAGCCTACAATACAAAATATTGCTGAAATACATGAAGATTATAATACCAATTATAAAGAAGTCTTTAAAATAACATAAAAGACAGTATACACAGTTGAAGCTTTTATGTTTATTATACGATGAGAGGGAAATTACTGAGGTTATGCCAAAGAAGACTGATAGTAACAATGTAACTTTTAGTAGCCACTTCTATTCTGCAGGGAAATGGCTCTTAAAAAGTTAATGTTGCTGTTTATAGGAAAAAAAGAGAAACCAACATCCCTAGTTTTATTTTTTTAACTGTATGGCAATGAACATTTTTATATGTTGTCTTGGTTTTAATTTATGATGTAGCTTCTTGATGTTTGGTGCTAAGTCCATGACTAGAAATCCTGCACAATATCAGATGTCAAAGTATTTAATCTTATTGTTGTATTTTAGGCCCAGCCAGCAACAAAAGACTACCAGTCACTCACTCACTACTTTCCCCAGTGGGATGGGGAAGAAAAAAATATAATGAAGGGCTCGTGGGTCAAGACAAGGACAGGGAGGGATCACTCACCAGTTATGGTCATGGGCAACACAGACTCGAGTTGGGAAGAAAGATCAATTTAATAAATTACTAATCAAATTAGAGTAAGACAACAAGAGACAAAACAAAACAGATCTTAAAAACTTTCCCCCTACCCCCTTTCTTCCCAGGCTACCTCCTCCCCTCCCAGCAACACAGGGGATGGAGAACGGGGCTTCCCAGTAGTCAGTCCATGTGGGGAATGTGTGCTGGTCAGTCCATTAGACAGGCTGTCTCTGCTGCTTCTTACTCCTCGGGGGAGGATCCTCACACTCTGCCCCTGCTCCAACGTGGGGTCCTTCCCACGGGAGACAGTCCTCCATGAACTTCTCCAACCTGAGTCCTTCCCATGGGCTGCAGTTCTTCACAAACTGCTCCAGCGTGGGTCCCTCCCGTGGGATACCATCCTCCAGGAGCAGCCTGCTCCAGCACAAGCTCTCCATTGGGTCACAGCTTCCTTTGGGCACATCCCCCTGCTCCGGCGTGGGGCCCTCCCCGGGCTGCAGGGGGGTCTCTGCTCCCCCATGACCCTCCATGGCAGCAGGGCACAGCCTGCCCTCTCACCAGGGGCTGATGGGGAACCTCTGCTCCAGCCACCTCCTCCCGCCTTTCCACACTGGCCGGGGTGTCTGCCTGGTTGTGTCTCACATCTCACCAATCACTCTGCTTCTGCTGCTGTTTCTGTGTTTTCCCCTCTTAAATATGTCAATCACAGAGGTGCTGACTGGCTCACAC